CGTGTAGAAGATACACCTTATCCGTTGTCTTTTGCAAGCCGTTCTCTTTCACCACCAGAGCAAAACTACTCTGTACAAGAAATCGAAGCACTTGCAATCGTATGGGGGATAAAGAAGTTCCGGCCATTCCTAGAGTATGGCCACTTCACAGTGTTCACAGACCACTCTTCCTTGCAGTGGTTGCTGAGAACAAAAGAGGAAAAACAAGGAAGACTGGCCAGATGGGCTTCAGAACTGCAAAGCTACTCCTTCGTGGTGAAGTACATCCCAGGCAAGTCTAACTTCGTTCCTGATATGTTGTCTCGCAATCCTCTTCCAACCATCTCGGCTATAACGTCTGCCGATGTGACCATCAACTGGGAAGCTGAACAAACCAAAGACCAGCAACTGCAGCGAGCGATAACAGACTCTTCCGCCAACTTTGTCCAAGACAAGAATGTGTGGTACAGAGTGGTCCAACACCCTCGCTCTCCCAAGCGCAACCGTCTGCTGTTGGTTATACCAACTCATCTTCAACAGGAAGTGATTCGCCTGAATCATGATCCTCTGTTCTCCGGCCACCTTGGTGCACACAAGACGTACAACCGCTTCAAGTCGTATGCTTGGTGGCTCAATGCCAAACAAGACACACTCAAGTTCGTCACCTCGTGTACCCAGTGTCAGCAAGCCAAAGGTCACTCCGACTTTAATGTGTTACCGCGACAGACAACAGGCGAACGCCCGTTCCAGCGCGTTGCAATGGACTTGTTCGGCCCTTTGCCACCTTCAGACTTAGGTAACCGGTATGTTCTAGTCATGCAGGACACCTTCACTAAGTTTGTGGAGATCTACCCACTGGTCCGCGCCGATGCTCCTTCAGTTCTCGCTACCATCGTCGACCATTTCATTCCTAGACATGGTGTGTCCAACGAGTTCCTCTCAGACAACGGCCCACCATTTGACTCGTCCTTCGTCCAGTCCTTGGTGATCAGGTTGGGCGGTTCTCACATTTTCTCTCCGGCTTATCACCCGCAATCCAACGGGTTAGTAGAACGAATGATGGGCACTCTTCGTACGATGCTGACCATCTTTTGCACTGGAGCTAACTGGGACAAGCACCTCCGCCAACTTCGCTGGGCTTACAACAGCAGTTACCATCCTACAGTGCAGGATAGTCCATTTTTTCTTTGCCACGGCCGCGATCCACCTACGCACTTCGCTGCGATCGTTCCTGGCTCTCTCGACACCTTCGAACACCTAGGTGATTAC